AGAGCCTGCCCAGTGGCGCTGGCCTGGGACTGAGAGAGCAAGCTCCCCGGGCCTCTGTCGCTAGTGCACGTTTCATGAAGTGCCAGGGCCATGCGGCTGCAAGGGACCCGCAGGGATCATCCAGTGCCACCCCTGCCGGAGGCAGGATCAGCCCCACTGAGCCATCCTATAGATGCCTGTTATCTAACCTCTACATAGCAAAACTACAGGTGGCCCCGACACAACTGGGTGCTTGGGCTCAGCCCCCCCAGCACCTCCCGGGGCTCTCGCTGCGAAGCCCAGCCCTCCTTCCCGGATCCCATGTGCCGCTCTCCCTTCGCGCCACTGCATCCTCCTTGCCAGCCCCCAGCCATGCACCCTGCCCCCCAAGGGCTCCCCACCCTTCCCCTCCCGTGGCTGTGGCTAGGCTTGGCTTCTTGGCTGGGCAGGCCTGGCTGTGGACTACGTACTGCTGGCGTAGTCGGGGGGCGCATACATGTCGTTGAGGTGGACATTGCCGGGCTTGGCCACTTTCAGGTACACCATGTCCGAAGTGTTTTTCAAGGCGGCCACTGCCTCCTCATGCCGCACATCTTGCAGGTTTGTGTTATTCACCTGCAGGAGAGACGCGGTGGGAGGGGTGTTAGGAGGGGCAAGGAGATGGGACAGAGGCACCGGGGCAGAGGAACGCAAGCCTGGCCATCGAGTCCATCCCCTGCAACTGTTTACCAAGGGGCAAGACAGCCCCCGCTCCCCATGCCCACGGGATTGCTACCGCACCATCCCACCCCCACAACCTCCTGCACCATCGCTCCATCCCTTGCACACGCCTGGAAGCGTGTGCAAGGGATGCGACTTTGGCTCCTTGCTCAGCACTGTGCTTGGAGGGACCTTCTGAAATGTCACACTTGACACTTAGAAACCTTTTCCCAATCCCTGTTTGAATTTGTCTGCACCTGGTTTGTAGCCAGGGCTTTTTTCTACCCTAAAGAGCTCTTCTCCTTCCCCGTCTGCGCCCAGGAGTACTCATACAGGGTAAGCACATCCCCTCCCGACCTCTCTTCTGCAGAGCTCAACAAGCCCAGCTCCTTTAATCTTCTTTCATCAGAAAATGTCTCCTTTCCCTTCACCATCTTCATGGCCCTTTGGTGACCCCGTTCCAGCTTATCTGCTCGAACATTACAGTGTCCTAAAGGGGTCTTTCCAATGCCTTCTTCAATGGGACTAGTACACCCTTGTCTGCAGAACACATGCTACCTAATCCCCCTGGTCTGCACTAAGAAGGGCCAGGGAACTGATTTAATACGTTCCCTCTTTGCTTCATGAATAGATCCCGGTGAAATGAGAGGTGACATGGTCCTGAGTGGAAGTTAAATGACATATCCTGGGCGCATCCGAGCTCCAGAGACAGCTGGGGTCTGCTTCCTCGGCAGCATCCCACAAGAATGTCATATTTAATGTCCTTTCAAATGCCAGGTACTTATTTGTCTTCACACCATAGAAACTCCTCCCTGGGGCCACCCCGAGCATGCACGCAGTCAGCTCAGTGCAGCATGCAGGTGCTATCCCACACCACAGAAACACCATTGTCCTCAAGCCAGCCTCGTTGTTCAGGGCCCAAAGCGTGGGCCCTTCCCAGCCCAAGGGAGCTGGGGGATCCCTGGCTCTGCTGCACGTCAGATCTTGACCATCACGTTCCAGTAGCAAAGGGCTTGGTGTCTGTGGCACCTGCCCTGTCAACAAAGCACCCTGGCCTGCAAAGGCCCAGCACAAATAGCAATGGCATTGACAGCCAGCAATCGCAGGCTCTGTAGCCAGGAGCGGCTGCTCTGCGCCGCTCCAGTGTTGTGAAGCAGCTTTTGCTGGTCCTTCATCCCAACTGCCCTGCTCTGATGGGCTCCTGCGGTAGCAGTCCTCTGTCCCGCCGACAGTCTAGCTGCAGGGAGCGCGAACTACCCTCCCGCTCCTTCCCCACGTCCCCTCCATACCCTTGCAATGGAAGAGACAGGGCCCTGGCCGTAGAAAGGAAGAGCTAATGCTTCCCAGATGGTGGGAAGGGGCACTGGAGCAATGGGCAGCCCAGGCAGCACAGGGAACCAGGGCCAGTGCCAGGCGGTGCCTCCCGTGCTCACAGCCCTCCCTGGCATCTTTGCTGCCTGTGGCTGGCCTCCAGACCCCCCTTGAAGAGGTGTGTGCTCACCGCGAGCAGCCGGTCCCCGATCTGCAGCCGGCCGTCCTTCTGGGCAGCCCCTCCCTCGATGATCTTGGTGATGTAGATGCTGTTGTCTCCTGGGATGTGCTGGTTCCCGATTCCACCTGCGATGCTGAAGCCTAGTCCTGCGGGGAAAGCAAGAGGGGATGAGGGGAGAGCAAAGAAAGCCAGGCCAGAGGCAGTGTGTGGGGAGCAAGAGCTACCCGACAGTGAGGACCAGGGGTGCCATACAGCCCCGATGGGCTCCTTTCCCTTGGCCCCTCCTTTCACATCATCAGGCTCTTCCTCCGGCCTGGGCACAGGGACGTGCTCAGAGAGGAGCCAGCAGCCCCCAGATCCCGGCTGCAGGCTGGGGCTGGTGAGAGCTCCTACTCTGGGCACAGGGCAAGGCCAGTGGGCTCCAGGCCCACAGAGAAGCTGACGAGTGGCATGACCTGGGTTTGGGGAGAGACCCAGGGGTCCTGGGATGCAGGCATGGGAGAAGCTGGGGAGGTCTGGCCCTGGTGCACAGGGGTGTCCAGAGCTGCCCGCGTGCCCTCGTGCATGGCTAGACCCATGGGCTGTTCAGGTGGTGCGGGGGAGCTGCAAGGCTCCCTCACCCCTCCAGCAATGCGGCCACGCTGTGGTCAGAGCTGCGCTCTCTCAGCCCAGGCTGCCGGGGGCCGATCTCATTACAGGGCCAACAGAAGAGGTTTCACCTTTGGGTCCTTTCATCAGGTTAACCTCCATGATGGTCTCTGGCGGGGGCTGCCTCCGCCGCACCACGAGCCGGACCACGGGGCCGGCCTCCTTCAGCGCCTCCACGGCTTTGCTGTGCACCACCTCGGAGACGTCCACGTCGTTCACTCTCAGGACACAGTCGTTCACCCTGCAGCAGTGGGCAGGTTGCTGGTGAGCCCCCATGTCCAGTGTGCCCCTCCTAGGGCATCTGCAGCCTTCCCTTGGGAATCCCAGGGACACCACGGCCTCCCCAGCTGCTCTGGGCCAGGGCCACAAAGCTCTTTGCAGGCCCACAGGGAACTGCGCTCTCAACACAGACCTCCCTGCTCTCCCCGAGCCAAAGCACAGCACAAGCATGCTGCACCCTGACGCTGTGCCTGTGGGTAGGGCTGCCATGTGAAAGGCACCCGGACCCCAAGTGCAAGTGCAAGGGGTAGGCATGTGACAGAGGGAGAGGGGCCACCCCTCACCAGGGACAGGGCACTGATCCCTGACAGGCAGAGAGGTGAAAGAGGGCTGGACCCCAGCCCCGGCAGCAGTGGGGCTGGATCTCCTACTGCTGGTGAAGCGCGACTAACAACGGGCAAAGATGCTCTGTTCATGGCTCTCCTCCCTGCTGAGCGCGCTGCACTGTTCTCCTGGGAGGCTGCCAGCCCTGAGCTTGTTCCCCAGACTTGGCCCGGCTACTCAGATGTGGGGTCCTGCCCGCACGCTGGCATCGCCCCATGCTCTTCCATCCCCACCTGCCACCCCCTTGCTGCTCCGGCCCCGGTTTCTCCCACGCAGCCCACCTGCCAATCCCATCCCTTTGCCCCACAGAGCTGTACTGTTGCCCATCGGTCCTGACCCATCCCTGGACACTCACCCTAGACGGCCGTCCATAGCTGCAGCTCCACCAGGGATGATTTTGGTGATGAAAATACCTGGATCATCTGGAATATGAGGGTTGTCGATACCTCCTGCAATGCTGAAGCCGAGGCCGGAGTTACCCTGGGGAAAAACAAAACACAAAGAAATTTGCTCCATGGTGGCTTGTGCATCCCCTGAGCTGAAGGCTGCAGCGGTGGCTCTCACTGCTACCTAGTGTTAGAGCATCATCCACCTCCTGGGGAGAGCAGGCCCCCTCGTGCAGTCTCTCCTTGGGGCACCATAGCTGCTGCAGCATCTGGGCTTGGCCCGAGGTGCCTGGCTCGGACAGGAGAGGAGTGCGAGCTCTCCCCTCAACAGGATATGGAGGCTTGCTAGAGTTTCCTTTAACAAGGCTGTGCTTGGGCAGCCTCCTGCGACGCGGTCAGGTAAAATAAACAGGGGCACATTGTCTGGGGGTTTCTGTTGTAGAAGTGTAGATGTTATTGTATACGTTATTTGCTTTTATACGTTATGTTCCTTTTTACTGTAAGCCGCCCTTATAAATCTAACAAATTAATAAAGTCAGAGACTGAACTAGGCTTCATCTGAATGCAAGCAGTGCCCAGCAGCGCCTCCTCCAGAAGAGGACGTGCGCTGTAACGCCTTCTCTTCTGTATCCCCTGGGACTCGTCTACGTCTCACCATGATACAGAACTAGGCTCAGCACGTGCCCCAGCTCTTCAGACAGCGGAGTGAGCTCTATGACAAAGCCATGATATTATGCATCTTGTGAGACCAGTCTCACAACAGCCTTGTGAGGTAGGCAAGTATCTTATCATCATTATCCCATTTTCCAGAGGCAGGAACTGAATCACAGAGAAGTGAAGTGAATTTGTCCAGCTTGCTCAATAAGGCAGTCTGAAAGCAGCATGAGATACTAAAGAAGTTGCAAACACATTCTGGATATAAAACCTGGACAGGCTGACATGACTAGAAGTCAGATGACATCAGCAGACAGCACCGAGGTATGAAATCTGTGAATGAGAGGTGATCTTTAATTGCCATCTCGGGGATTATAAAACCGACACTGTTCATTTCAATGTAGCTTTGCCTCGTTCTTCTGTCTGATGGAAATAAACCCAGACATGAATTAAGTCCTCTTGTTCACGTGGGTGTCATAATACATTAAGACCAGAGCTGGTAAAATCTTTATTTCCCTAGGAAAGGGTTAATCTCTCCCAGACATAGCAGATTTTCTGGACTGATTGAAAAAGTGCTTTTTCTTTGCACTCACAGGGAGTTGAGGAAAGGGGAGCAGCTGATTTCTAGGAGATAATGCTGCTTATGATTTCCAGCCATTTCTACGATGCCACCCTATAAATAAATAAGACATCCTGGGAAGCACGGAAACGCGTGTCCTTGCTGCACTCGGTGAGGCTCTGTGGGCTGGGGCCCGTGTTTGGCATGTGGCGAGAAGGCACCTGATGATACAAGCTCGTTGTCCTGACCTGAGGTTATTCTCTCGGTGGATTCACGCTGCTTTATGTTCAGCCTGGAGAAAGCTATTTGCTGTCACTTGGAGACACCTCCATTGCTAGCTCACGCATGTTCCTCTGGTAATCTTGTGCCAGCGAAGAAGCAGGTTGCTCTTCGACTCAGACATGATGTCCCAGCACTCGAGTCATTAGTTCTGTTTGGCTGTGCTGGGGCAACTCTTGATGCGAGCTGACAAATGTTGTCAGCCGAAACTGAAAGACAGAACCATTTGGCTTCCTTTGGGCAGACGAAAGGCAAGTGGAAGGTGCTGCTCCCACAGCCTCCTTTCCGAGCCTGAGCAGACACACGCCCTGACAGCAACCAGGCTTTCTACGTGGGAAGGGCTTCCTTGGCGGTTGTCTGAAGAGCTGCAGCACCGCTTGGATGTTTTCTTATAACACCGTTCCAGGGATTTCCTAACCGCAAGGCTGAACGGTACGCGACAACACAGTAAATTCTGGCCCCAGAGCCCATGGGGGAACTCGCATGCTGCTGCCTTGTGATCCAACCGCAGCCTTTGCAAGGAGGCCACAATGACAATGACCAGCCTTTTAGGCTCATAGTGCATGGGAGGCTGTGGCTAAATCCGTGTCTGGCAGAAAGGGGACCCCTTCTCACTGGCTACAGGGGGAAAGAGGGCGGGTTGTCACTGCCTTGGTTATTTGGCTGGACAGCTGAAAGTGGGCGACAGGAACGTGAAGTGTGGGAGGTGCAGAACAGGACGTCCCCGCTGCATGGCTGGCATCTTAGTCCAGGCTGTTTCACAGTCTCTGCCCAGGACATGAAGCAGCAGGTGCCTCTCTGTTTCTTGGTGCAATTGAGGAGGAACAACTGATGCAATCTAAGTGTGATCCTGCAACGTCTCTGGGGTGTGACAGCGGCTTCCCAGGGTCAGCTGGGCCAAAAGCGGTGGAGAGGCTCTGAAACGCGTGGGGGCTGAGTCTTGTTTTCTGAGCTCGGCTGGGAGGAAGCAGGGAGAAAAGGGGAATTTCTTGTGCTCCATAAATCTACATCCACCCTGAGGATCTGACAGCCAATGTGCCTTGCCTGACAGAAAAAATCACACCAAAAATCTAACAACTGCTGATCCACGTGAGGGCTCAGGCACCATGGGCCCGCAACACAGTGCTTCTCCATCTGTCTGTCCATCTGCTGCCTCTTGTCTCCTGCTTGGATTGTAAGCTCTTTGAGGCAGGGACTGTCTTGTTCTGTAACAGTCCGGCACACGGCACTGGGGAGTCCTGGTCTAGGCCTGGGGCCCTCGGGGTCTGGGAAGGGCCCCACTGAGCTCCTGAGGGCCTTCTTGTCCCTCACCATAGGGCTGGGTGCTTCCTAGACTGGTGCATCGGTGGGTTCCCAGCCAAAGGCGAACGGGGGCAGCTGTCGGGGCAGCATCACCTCTAGCCCATCCCAGTTATTGCACGTGGCTCCATTTTGAAGCCTAACAGCAGGGACGTGACCTAATGCCACACGGCCACATCTCAAGTCATAAAGTCGGTGGGAAGGTGCGGGCTGAAGGCTCCATCTACGAACAGCCCCTCAGACCAGCAGGGCCAGGGGCTGTCTATGGGGAATAACCAGGGAGTGCGACTTCACTTTGGAGGGCTCGGTCCCTCCAGCCCCCTTCCCTATGGGTCTCTGATTTGGATGCTCCTGTACATGGAAAACCTCTCTGTCCTTTGGCTATAAAGGCTTAACCCTCAGATAAACCGGAGCACCAGAGTTCACTGCATATTCGACCAACGAAATAGCAAAGAACAGTTTCCCCACCTATTTAGTTGGTCTAATAAAAGAAATGACATTTACCTAAAGAGACTTGTCTGCCTGTGTCCTTAGACCAACACGGCTACAACCAACAACCCTAGAGTTCACTGCGACAGTCAGAGCCCTGAGGACAAAACCCAGATGGTGCCACCCCACTGGAAGACACAGCACACATCTGGCAACAGCTGGAAAGTTGGCGCTGTTCTGGCCAGCCTGGAGTTGGGACTGGCCTGCTGCATGCCACCCTTTCTGCCAGGCCCAGGAGCGCCACGATGCTCCACCAAAACCAAGCAGAAACCGGCCTTGCCCAGCCTCAGAGCCACCTGCAAACAGGGTGGTTAGAAGAAACAGGGTCGGCTCAGACCAGGTGGGCCATGGAGTGCAGCCCCCACCATCGCAGAGAGTCACACAATAGAGGTCAAACCTACAAGTGCCCACAAGCACGCTCCTGCGGTGCACCACAAGCCCAGAAAGACTCCCAGCCCCCCATAAGTTAGGAGCAGAGAGCCCTGTGCACACTGAGTCTGACAGGCGCTCCAAAAGCACGCGCCAAATAACCTGCCAGCCTGCCTCCAGCCCTGTGTTGTTCTGTCGGGGCACAGCCCTGCTGCACTCGTGCACCATCCTGCTTCAGGGCATGTGGCTAGAGCCCTCTGACTTCTACAAAGCTGCTGCATATCTGCAGGCAGACTCAGGCCTCCTGTGTGCCCAGCTGGAGTCAATCCTCCCACCCCTCTGTGATGGTCACCTGGCCCTGAGAGCCCACCCAGGCCCATCCCTGCCTTGCACGAGGACAGTCTCCCTTAGCCGCTCTTGCTCATCCTCTCCCCACCTGACAGGAGCTCAGGTCCATGCCTCCGTGCCTGCTCTCCCACTCAGGACCGGTAGCAAGCCTGACTCAGCCGGGCAGAAGACGTACGGGATTAGCGTGTGGCAGAGAGACACGTTCTGCTGAAACTGCCAGCTCGTCCTCATACAAGCTCCTATGTGGGAGCTAATTTTAGTCTTTGTCTGTACAGTGCATGCCATCAGTCCTACTTCGGTGGCATCTCAGAGAGACAAGGAAAAGACCCAAGCAGAGATTCCCCTTGTTCCAACCCAGTTACTAGAAAGCCTGTCTCTGCAGTTCAGGATCACCGTGCCGCATACCTAGACGTGATACACAGCCGGCTAACAGGCCGGAAGAGAGCACGGCCAACTCCGTGGGCCTGTTTGCTGATCTTCAGACCCACCTACTCTCCATCCTGTAGCTGAGCACGTGTGGGAGACAGAGCAGCCCCACCTCCCTCAGCCGTGCTGGGGGCGTGTATGTGCAGAGTGAGTGTGAAAGAGACCCACCTATCTTCCATCATATGGAGCGTGTGGGTGTGGAAGAGAGAGGGGGAGAGACACATTGCCTACTCGTGTGTGAGCATGTGCGAGCATGCGAGAAACCCCATGCATCCTGTGTGCATGCATGCATGTGTCAGGAGGCCAGCTGTGCGGGTGGGCGGGTGAGTGGGAGATCGCTGTGGGAAACACGCAGCGCACAGTCAAAAGGCTGCTTTTCAGCCTGTGCTGACGCTCTGCTCTCCTGCAGAAGGAAACCCACATGCTCGGCACAAAGAGCGCGGCTCAGAGCAATGTGCGTCGGAAAACACCGGCGTCTCACTTACCCTTTCCAGGACGATCTCCTCGTACTTAAACATCCCATCACTGCCGTTCACCTGGCAAGAGAGAGACGGGGAGTTAAAACTCTGCCCAGCTCACAGGTCAGTCCTGGCCACGAGCAAGAGGGAATCAGGCCCAGCGTCCTTGGCTTCATAATGGAAACCCTCGAGTGCGATCCTCCACTCGCATCCCTCAAATTAAATGCTCTGTGTCATTCTTTGGGCCTGATTCAAAGCCCACAGAAAGCAATGGCAGGACACACTGGCTTTAATGCACCTTAGATTAGACCCTTTACCCTCGTTTCTTTCATATGACTTAAAAGGAGTACAATTAAACCACACAAAAGGACATGCCTTTGTTATACAGCATATAATTAACCTCTGGAATTCCCTGCCGCATGATACTATTGAAGTAAATCAAATGGTACAGAGAATTGTAAAAAGACCTATACACAACTACACTTAGCATGTCTCTAACAGCTCACATCTTCCAACTGCTTTAGTAACATGAACTCCTTCTGGTGGACTGAATAATTTAGAGTATAATTTATTTCACTAAATTAGCTGGCCACAAAAGCAAACAGGATATTAGGAAGCACAAGGAATCGGATGGAGAATAGTAGGGAAACTATTATAATGACACTATATAAATGCACAGTTCAGCCCCATCTGGATACTGAGTGCCATACCAATTGCTGCACCTCCACAACGATATTGCAGGATTGGAGGAGGGCAGTAAAAATGCTGAGGGCCTGGACAGATATAACAGGAAGAGAGATTGAGATGACTGGGACTGTTTACCTGGAAAGGAGAGAGTGAGGTTACAAGGGGATGCAATCAGTCTATGCAATACTGGGTGGTACAGAGAAGTGATCATCAGGCACACCTACTTTCCAGCCCCATAACTCCAGAACAAGGGGAAATCAGTGAATTGTAATGATAAACAGAGTCCGTTCTCACACACTGCAGCTGCAACGTGGAAGTCATTGCCACATGATGTTCCCGGTATCACAGGATCCTGTGATCCTCGTGTTGTTGAGGCCAAGGTTTTAGCATGGTCCCTGGAGGGATTCAACATAAGTACGGATGCTGAGGATATCTAGAGTTACCAGAAATGACTCTGACAACAGTTTTGGAAGGGATTACACCCTAAACTTCAGGGGCCCGGCTTCTCTCTTCCTATTAGAGACCAGCATTGGGCTTATGTAGGCATATCCCACATCTCTCTACTTTGGGGTTCTTACTCCTTGAAATAACTGTTGCTGGCAATTCTCAGGCAGGGTCTTGGACCAGGTGGACCTTGAATCCATCCGGATGTGTGGTTCCTCTGTCCCAAGCTGCTTTCTCCGCTCAGTAATGGCCCGCGTGCAGCTTATGCACTGGTGAACACTTGTATTTCAGGGGCCATTAGTGGACGCCCTATAGACTGCATGCAAACAGTGTAGTGCAAGCGCTTTGGAGCCCAAAACAGGAGATGTGCTGGTCATTTCGATTGGATACAGAGCTTGCCCTGTGCTGATTCTGTGCTCTGATTGGGTACATGTGAATAGCCACAGCTTAACTTTAAATGCAACTACTCTGTAATATTCACATCAGATTTGCTGCTTCTCGGACATTTTTGCCACAAAGCTTCCTCAATAGAAAGCTCATGGCAAGCAAACACAAAGCGGCTGTGAACGCAGCCAAAGCAAAGTTACTGAATGAGGCACCCAAAGAGCCACATGACTGTCCTGCAGAGTTGGCCCAACTCCACGATGTAACTGGAATAAGAACAAAACTCATTGATAAGGGGCTATGAGCTATCAGTCCTCAGAGGCACATTTCAGAGGGAGCGGCATTCAGACTCACCCCAAACGCGACTCATCTTAGGTCCAGCTCATGGTCAAAAAATACGAAAGCTTGAACCATGAAAACTGGGGAGCAGCAAATGTTATTTATACTAAGGGAATAACCTTCAGGCTATTCCTAGTTCCTTCCACGGCTCCTTTTCTCATCTGCCTTGCACCAGGTCCTCACCTCCACAGTCTGCCTGTCGTGTGGGACTCGGCAGGTCCAGCAGCGCGAGGAGGAGGATGGCCTGATAGCAGAGGAGGAAGGAGCAGGTTCTGGCTGCTGTCACTGCACCGTGCTGCTCTTGGAGATAATAATGGTAATTGCCTTGTACCAGCCGTGCTGGAGCAGAGGGAAAGCAGAGGGGTAATTTATGTGCAGAACTGCAGGTTCACAGAAGCAAGGCATCATTTCCATTCCCTTGGCAGCGCCGCTCTTTGCCTGCCTTAAATCTTCTCTGTGCAACTGCTTGGCAGAGGATGCAGCAGCAGAAGAGGCTCACGGCTGGTTCCCCATGGCATGGTCCTCTCACTCTTGCTGCTCAGAGGAGGTGAGGGTCGATCCTTCTGCAGATGTCTGGTTTCTATAAGCTCCAGGGCTTTGGAGAGCCGAGCCTGCACCCCTGTGTTGGGGGCTCTTCCTCAGCTTCCATCATGGCCTGAAACTGGGGAGAACCGTGGCTCTTGCCACCTCCTAAACAGCCCCCCCCCCCGGCATGCCCGGGGCTCAAGCAGCCCAGCGACCTCAGCACAGAGGGAGGGACCTGCTCTAGAAAACTCACCCGATGAAC